TGGCTGCCTCCCTCATGCCCCCTACTGGGAATCGAGCCCGTAACCCAGGCGTGTGCCCTTGACTGGAGTCGAACCTGGGACCTTTCAGTCCACAGGCTGATGCTCTATCCACTGAGCCACACCAGTGCCCTTTCACATTTTCATTAAGTTCATGTATGACCATGTGTGTATCTGTGCCAGCATTGGGTAGTTATAAGTTGAAGTTTAAAAAAAAACCCCACAAAAACACATGACAATAATTGTTTATTACTTTTCTGTTCCTCAGTTACCGAGCTGATACCCAGACATACCAGCCTTATAACAAAGATTGGATTAAAGAGAAGATCTACGTGCTCCTTCGTCGACAGGCCCAACAGGCCGGGAAATAGTTGTGTTGGAAGCATTTGGAGGTTGGGGGTGGGCTTGGAACACAGGTGTGTACAGCTGTCTGTAGTGAAGTTTTGTATTATAGTAATCCTGTTTCCATTTTGGTACACTCTAGCCAGGATTGAATGTGTTAGATGATATGTGAGGATCTTGTTCAATCTGAACTCCCATCACCCCCCTTTTTTCTCTTTTTTTACTTAAACATTGTTATGATGACTTAACTAAGAAGTTTTTCTTTGTCAGTTAATGTTGATTCCAATCCTTCATATCTGCTTTATAACATTCACTGTACTAACCCTTCTTCAAGTTGGGGTGGGGGTAGTAACAGTTTAATTATGTGCTAAGATAAAGTCTTAGTGAAAAACAAATAAATGTTCTTTAGTTATATTTTTCCCCTGGTTGCTTTTTATTTTATTTATTTTTTATTTTTCTACATTTTTTGGTCTCTAAACATGAACATTGAATTTTCTTGCAAAGCATTAGTGTCAAAACCAATAGACTGCTACAGAATTTGAAGTTGAACTTTGATGTGATTTATGTAACGCTAACAAGCTTTTTCTGGCCTTGTGAGTCTCATTTGTAGATTCAAGGTTTGCACTTACTGTGGATGCAAACATTATGAAAGACTTTCTGGTGACATGGCTTATCTGTAGCAGCAGGCCGGTTAGTTCCTTAGCTTTGGTTATGTACTCTCAGTGGGAAGTCCTTGTGCCCTTCTCACAGCCTTCAGCATTGGAATGGCACTCTTGTATGGCAGTGTAAGGGTAAGGGAAAGACCACAGAAAAATACAAGATAATCTTGCTTTTAATGTAGAATGTGGTCAGATTTGACTTGAACATACAGTATATTGTACCTCCAGTCATCAAGTATGTGGACATTTCCTGATTCTGCTATTATGACTGATAGCCAATAATATCTTTATGCACTGTGAGTTTGGCAGGGTTTTTGGAGGCTTCATGAGTGCCCCTATATTCTCCTTGTCCCCAAACCCATTTCTACATTAGGGCCAAATTCTAAGTTAGTATTTATATGTGCTCACTTTTTCTACAGAGTCATTATTCTATCAATGTCATCACTGTATCAAAGGATTATTAAAATTAGGGTGCCTTACCAAAATTATAGCTGTAGTTATTTCATGTGGACCAGCCAATATTTTTAAATATATGTGTTTTTAATTAATTTCAGAGAGGAAGGGAGAGGGAGAGAGACAGAAACATCAATGATGAGAGAGAATCATTGATCATCTGCCTCCTGCATACCTCACACGGGTTCGAGCTCACAACCCAGGCATGTGTTCTAACTGGGAATCAAACTGTGGCCTCCTGGTTCATGGGTTGACACTGAACCACACCAGCTGGGCTGAACCAGCGAAATTTTAAAGCTAAGGTATTTTCACAGGAAAAAAAAATCCAAAAGTAAATCAGATTGTCCTACTTCTCACTTGGCCTATCCTATTAATATAGTTTTATTTCTACTGTTAGAGAAATAAAACTGTATTAATAGGATAGGCCAAGTGCGTTTTTTTTATAAAGTGATATTTTATACTGCTACATAAAGGTGAAACCTACCAGACAAATTAAAAAGTTCCTGGTTCTCTATTTCACCTGGTTTTACATACCTGGAAATTTCTATAATATTTACTGGCAATACTATTAGCATTTGATCTAAGAAGTTTCTGGAGTATAAAAGAGAAATTTTAACTATCTCACTTCACTTGCAGTTCTGTGGCTTAAAATATTTCAGCAATTCACTAAATGCCTTAGGCACTGTTTGGATAAGCTATATATCTTACTCCTGTGTTTGGGTGGAAATGGTGGTGAACTGTTTACTGTCACCAAGGGATGAGCAGACAATTTTTTGTCGTCCTAAAAGCAGACCAGACTTTGGGTTGGAGGAAAAAGAGCAGGGCAGTTGTTAGTATGACACCAGCTTCATATGAGTGTGGCACATCCTTTATTATAGGTGGAGAATGTCCAGCCTGTGGGCCATGTAAGGCCCTCAAAATAATTTGGTCTGGCCCTACCAAGGCATTAAGGGTGGGTTAATTAAATGTTTGACCAAATATAGCAGGCTAATTTTTAAGTTGATAACTTTGTGTAGCTCTCAAATGATGTTATAAATATCCAAATGGCTCTTGGTAGAAAAAAGGTTCCTCATCCCCGCTTATCAGATTGCTAATTTTTGAAGATTGGAATGAAAATTGGGATTAATATATGAACTGTTTAAAAATAAATATTACTATATTTGTAGAGGTACTTTAGAAGAAGAAATATTAATTTATATATTAGCATAATGATAATGGCATTACCACTTAGGCATGGCATTTACTAGTTAGGAAACATTTTTACATATTTAATCACAGCAACCCTTTGAGGTAGGAAAAATTATTCCTCTATTAATGGTGAAAAAATAGGTTCAGATTCTTCAAGTTGTTCACCCAGATTATACAGCAATACCAGAAAAACTTTACTAAATGAAAAAGACATGGTCTTAACCTCAAAGATCTTGAGCGTTGGGAGCCTCACAAAATGAATAGTTGTGAGGTAAGTGATGGATCTCTGATGCCTATCAAAGGAAACTTTAAACTCATTTGGATTCATAAATACATGAATAGGTCATATTTGTCACCTATTTACTCAAAAGTAAACAGGAGACAGCTCACCAACCCAGCATCATCATTAAAAGTTTCTCTTCCGCCAAAGCCGGTTTGGCTCAGTGGATAGAGCATCGGCCTGCGGAATGAAGGGTCCTAGGTTCGATTCCAGTCAAGGGCATGTACCTTGGTTGCGGGCACATCCCCATTGGGGGATGTGCAGGAGGCAGCTGGTCGATGTTTCTCTCTCATCGATGTTTCTGGCTCTCTGTCCCTCTCCCTTCCTCTCTGTAAAAAATCAATAAAATATATTTTAAAAAAAAAAGTTTCTCTTCCATGGGAGTGAGTAGTCTTCATGGCAGTTTACACAGCCATCCAAGAATTATTCTCTGGACACACCACAAATGATAGCTCAAGTGCAAGAAATAAGACCGGTAAGTTTAAGAGTTAGCTTGGCTTAGAAACCTTGTATAAAACAGGTGCCACAATCTATAAAATAAAAGCCTAAGTGACTGTTAACAATGGAAGGACCAGAACGATTGGTCACTATGACGTGCACTGACCACCAGGGGGCAGACACTCAATGCAGGAGCTGCCCCCTGGTGGACAGTGCACTCCCACAAGGGGAGCACCGCTCTGCCAGAAGCCAGGCTTACCGCTGGCGAGTGCAGTGGCAGTGGTGGGAGCCTCTTCTGCCTCTGGCAGCGCTAAGGCACGATGAGTCAAGCAGTAAGGAGCAAGCAGGCGGGTGGTTAGGAGCGAATGGTCCCAGATTGCAAGAGGGCGCAGGCCCGGCTGAGGGACCTCGCCCCCTCACGAATTTTGTGCATCAGGCCTCTAGTCTGTAACTCCATAGACATAGCTTCTATGTTGCTGCAAAAAACATACTCCAGTTAAGAGTCACTGCATTAGAGAAGCACAAAGCTATTTCTTTCCACCAGGTATTTACAGTTTTCACTCAATCTAGGTATAAATTATCCATTAGAGGTCATTTGTACCATATACAATCTTTTTTTAAAATTTTTAATACATTTATTATTTTGCAGCACCAGTTTTCCACTGATGAAAACGACAAAGACATAATATAAAAACAGGTAATGAGTCATAGTGAAATAGAATATATTAAAATCAATAAATTTTACCAATGGAAAATGCAAATGTGACAAAGTTTGTAACACGTTCATTGCCGAGACAGAAGCAATTCAAATATGTTAAGAAAAATTAATAAAAATATAGATACTTTATGAGTTGACTATTCCTGGTGTCCAATGATGCCGCGAGAAGGGGGTCAATTCTCCGAGTCCAGGGAATGCGATAGGAAAAGCACAGGAAGCCGCGAGTCACAGATGTGCACACTCGAAAAGCTCGCCCAGTCCTACCGGTGCCAGAGCACGCCGCCAGGAGGAGCGTGGAGGCTGGGCTGGGTCCTTGGGAAAGTTCTGGGCAGCAGCTCTCCAGTGGATGCCGCACCAGCACTGAGAACCGGCAGCAAGGTCACGTGCGCCCTAATGGGCTCAGCCTGGACCGTGGAGAGAACAGCCGGACGCCACGCGCATGCGCAGTGGGCACGAAGGGGGCAGAGCCCAGGCCACCTCCCCAAGGTGGATGCTTAGAGGTACGCCAACTCTGCACAAGAGCAACTGGTGGCCGAGAAGCACTGACGGCGCTTCTCGCACCCGCGTGGGCGCACACCCAGGTCCCCTCTGGTCCCGCGGCATCGGCATCTGCAGGACTTGGCGGGGACAGAATCCCTTAGAGATCCAGGAGCTTGTAGGGATCCTCCTCATTCTCAGCCTAAGGCTGGCAGGAGGAAAAGTGCCCCTCCCAGGAACTTTGGGTGAGCGCAGCTCTGTGACTCTCGGGGTCACAACAAGGTTGGTAGAGCAACTTAAGTTGTAGGGGCCCTGAGGCCAGACTCTGGCCTGGGCTGGAGCTGGAGCTGGAGCAAGAGCTGAAGCAAGTGCACGCGGGACCGCGCCCTGGACGCCCTGCGCAGGGCTCCAGCAGGCCTGGCTGTAGCTGAAGGCGCAGTGCTCTGCTTCAGGGAAGACTTTCGAAGGGGCTGTGCGGAGGGAGGCTGCAGAAAGCTGGGCCCCCGTGGTGCAGGGGGGCGGCGGGGAGCACAGGGCCGGCTGAGAACACTGGCTCCTCAGGGAACACAGGTGTGGCAGGCAGCACAGGGCTGGTAGGGAGCACAGGGTCCCCCTGGAATGCAGGGCCTGCAGGCGCAGGCTGAGGGGCGCAGACTCCTGGTTTTGGGAGCGCAGCGTGGGCTTCCTGGACTTGCTGCCCGCGCAGTCGCTGCAGCCTGTAGTCTTTGGCCCTGCGGTTCTTGAGCCACACCTGCACTTGGTGCTCCTGCACGTTCACCTGTTTCGCCAGGGCCTTGCGTTCCTCGTAGGTCCCGTAGCGTTTCTTCTTGTAGAATTCCTCCAGCTGCAGCCGCTGTTCTATGCTGTACACCGTGCGCTTCGGCTGCTTCTTCCTCCGATGGGCTGGGGAAGGTGGAGAGCCCGGGGGCGACTCAGGTTCCTGCATCCTGGATGCTGCTGGGTCCTCTGCCCTTGAAGCTCTCCGTATCATATGCGATCTTGCCTAGTAATACATTCCATCATTTCTCCTTAGAAACACAGCCAGAGCTAGAAAATTAACCCAAGGTCAATTTTGTCCCTACAGCAGGAATTTTGTTAATCTTTTATCCACAGGATTTAAGAAAGATGTCACATCTAGCTGGTTTCATGAAAGAGGAAACATTTGAGCTGGGCCTTGAAGAATGGCTAAAATTTGCAAAGAGGAATAATAAGGGGGTAGTAAAGAACTGGGGATGTTTGAGGAACAGCAAGTTAGGTCCCATGGCTGGAATAAAGTATTTAGGAGAGTGATGGTATAAAAGCCAGGACAGCTAATATTGGAGTGCCTTGAATGTGAAGCTACAGGGTTAGTTTCATAGGCTGTGGATAGTGTAAAGATTTTTAAGGCATTGTCAAATCTTTGCATTTAAGAGGATTAAACTCACTGCTCTGTGTAGACTAGATTGGAAAAAGAATATAATGTCCCAGAAGTCAAGAGATTTTTCCAGTGAGACAGGTAAGATGAGGGATTATAAAAACGCTTTAGATTTGAAATTTAGGGAGTCTTCAGTAGTATAATATGAAGACAAAAACCAAAGAGTAGGGGAAATGGAGTAAGTAAGTATAGGCAAGGAAGGCAAAGTTCACTGGAAACTAAAAAGAGATTGGTAATATGGATGGACTTAAGTTGGAAGGACATTTTTTTAAAATACAATTTGTTCATATATAAAAACTAGATGCCTGGTGCATGAAATTAGTGCAAGAAGGGGGGGTGTCCCTCAGCCTGGCCTGCACCCTTTTGCAATCCGGGACCCCTTGGGGGATGTCCAACTGCCAGTTCGGACCTGCGGGATTGGGCCTAAACCGGCAGTCAGACATCCCTCTCACAATCTGGGACTGCTGGCTCCTAACCTCTCGCCTGTCTGCCTGATTGCACCTAACCACCTCTGCCTCGGCCCCCGCCGCCGTGGCTTCATCCAGAATGACATCCGGAAGGTCGTTCAGCTATCGGTCTAATTGGCATATTATGCTTTTATTATTATAGAGATCACATTCTTTCCACCACAGTAGTAGATCCCAAATGTTGGTCTACCAACTGATACTCCACAATCACTTTGGAAGCTTTTTAAAATCAGATTCCCAGACCCTTCCTCTGGATTAGGGGTCAGCAAACATTTTGTGTAATGGGTAAATAGTAAATATTTTAGACTACATGCCATATGTAGTCTCTGTCACACATTCTTTGTATTATAACCCTTCAAAGACGTAAAAACCATTCTTAGCCTGTCATCCATACAAAAACAGACTAGGCTGGATTTGGACAGTGGGCTGCAGTTTGCCAACCCCTGCTCTTGAGAATCTGATTCAGTCCATCTGGATTAGGACCTGGGAGTAGGAATCCTTAAAAAGCTCCCTAGGACTTCCACTTCTATCCATATAGAGTAAGGACCAGACTTAAGTGGCAAACGACAAACTAAGTGAAGGGACTTTTTCAGACATTGAAGAGGTAGCAAAGATATAGAGCGCCCGAGAGACTAAAATCAGGAGGACATTTGGGAAATGGAGAAGTTGGAAGAAGCTAGATGATGGTCTAAAGCAGTGGTCGCCAACTTTCGGACCTCACGGACCACCGGTGGGAAGACCTCTGGTCTAAAGGGAATTTCAGCAAGAGAAACCTGAGAAGGGGGATTTCTTAGTGATTCACTTTGTCTCCTCCATTACACTGACTTGTAAGCCTGATCTAAGAAACATGTTTTACCTTCAAAGGCAATAGTTATCCCTTCAGCTACATTTAGAGATCCTGTGTCAACTTATCTCACACTCTCCTTTCTAGTTGGTAATTATGTGTTTCAACTGGATGTTCAATTTGAGACATTGGGGAAGAGCTTGGTTTAAAACCCTCTTCTGTGCCAAAAGTAATTTTCTTTATGCTTTTCAAGAGAGTAGGGAGAAGGCTAATGAGGACAGATTACTTCCCTTCCCTGAGACAGGCCCTGTATCCTTGTCAAGAGATGTTTGAATTTAAGGTTTGAAGCCTGTAATTTAAGAGAAATGGGATAGATCATGGTTTCTCCCTTGGAAATCTGAGCCCGGGGGGGGGGGGTGGGGGGTGGTGGGAGGTTGCCATGGTAATGCTAACTCCTACCTTCACCTACAGAGTAGGGGAGTACCTACTATGTTCCAGGATCCCCCCAAGCTTGACCAACTATATTGCCCCTCTAGTCTTAGGGGAAAAGAGTATGGTTGAGTCTTTTAGTACCTGCTCCAGGGTAAACAGTTTGAGGAGCACCCAATAATGCTGGGCCTCTTCTTTCCAATGGCCCTGGCCCTTCCAGAGATACCTTTGTCCTTTACACTCTGAGCCCAGATGCCTGTTAGAGGCATGGTTACCCCACTTCCTTCCACATATGAAGCAATTCCAGGAAGGATCATCATAATGCTCTCCCCAGTTATTAAGCAAATCCCAAAAAGAGGTTACAGTTGTGAGAGAGGGGGATTGCTTCACTCTCTTCAGAGGAGTGTTATGAAAGGATTTGAAGGCACAGGTACTAAAAGACTGTTGAGGACAAATGTTCATTAGCATGAAGTTGCTTTTTGTTAATCCTCACCGAGGATATTCACACACACACACACACACACACACACACACACACACACACACGTTGATTTCTAAAGAGTGGGAGGGAGGGAGGTGGGGAGAGAGAAACATTGATTGGCTGCCTTCCGCACAAGCCCTGACCAGGCTGGGAATCGAACCTGCAACCCTTTGTTGTGCAGCCTGACATTCCAACCACTGAGCAACACTGGCCAGGGCTAGCATGAAGTTTTGATGCAGCTATAAGGGATTTAAGGTGGAAAGCCTTGGTACCCCCTTTGATGGCTTCTCTGAGCCAGCAGACTCTCAGTTATCTATTAAAATAGTTGGATTGAGAAATCACATCTTTCCTGCATGTAAAAGGCTAATGATCACACTTAAAACAACAGAGTATTTGAGGCCTATGTGACCTGTTTGTGAAGTGACCATCTCTGTAATATTGACCTGGCTTATATACTGGGATTATAGTTTTTATAAAAGATTCAATATCACCACTTTAACACACCACCCAACAGTGAGTCAGTGTTGGTGCTCAACATGGAACATGCTGTCCTGAGAGCCTGTGGATAGGATCACTGGGTCCCCCACATGGACAGCCTCCTCACCCCACCTGGGCTCTGATGCCCTCCACCCAGCCACGCTCTGCATAGATATCTCCCCCTCCTTGGTCCTCTGACTCCCCACTCCAGGCCACTCCTCATGGGGGCGCCCTTTCAATCCTGCTCATCCACAGAGATGATTTCACATGGTAAACATTCATATGATTGGCTATCCTAGTAGCAGTTGTTTACATATCATTTTCAGTGGTTAACTTATCCTCAGGACAAACATAGAGCTCAGTCAGTGAAAATTATTATAGCCGAAACCGGTTTGGCTCAGTGGATAGAGCGTCGGCCTGCGGACTCAAGGGTCCCGGGTTCGATTCCGGTCAAGGGCATGTACCTGGGTTGCGGGCACATCCCCAGTGGGAGATGTGCAGGAGGCGGCTGATCGATGTTTCTCTCTCATCGATGTTTCTAGCTCTCTGTCTCTCTCCCTTCCTCTCTGTAAAAAAACAATAAAATATAAAAAAAAAGAAAATTATTATAAAGTAAGTGAACTTGAGAGTTTTTGTGCACTCTTCTACATATATTATACTTTAATAAAATTTATTTCCCAGAAACATCTTATACTGACATGTTAAAACAACACTACCAGAAGGAAGTCTAAAATATTTATGTTACCACGAAGTTACCCCTGCACCTTGGTAGAGGCCTCGGACCCTACAGCAGTCTGGCAACCAGCTGATCAGAGAAGGAACACTTTTCTGTTCTCTAACGGCTTGTCCTTGCCACACTGGGAAGTGACAAAAGGTTATTAAAAACACAAGGATTGCCCTAACCGGTTTGGCTCAGTGGATAGAGCTTCGGCCTGTGGACTGAAGGGTCCCAGGTTCGATTCCGGTCAAGGGCATGTACCTTGGTTGCAGGCACATCCCCAGTAGGGGGTGTGCAGGAGGCAGCTGATCGATGCTTCTCTCTCATCGATGTTTCTAACTCTCTATCCCTCTCCCTTCCTCTCTGTAAAAAAAAAAAATCAATAAAATATATTTTAAAAAATAACAACATGAGGTTTTCTTTTACCTGCTCTGTTAGGCTACTTCAAGAAGTGTTTTAAACATATGCTACCAGAGCGATCCAAATATGGGCAAATCTTGCCTTGATCCTTAGTCTTTTTCAAGGCTTTCATTTGACACATTGTTCCTGTTAGAGATCAAGAAGGGTAGAGAAGTTAGTACAGGTAAGAGTCCACCAGTATTAAGGAATTATTGTGAAGTGTTTTAGGTTTGATAATGAATTTGTTATTTTTAAAGAGCCATGTAATGAAATATTTACAGATAAAGTGACATATCTGTGATTTGTTTCAAAGGAATCAAGTGGAAGTATTAGATGAAACAAGATTAGCCACATGTTGATAGTGGTTGTACCTGGGTGGTGGGTATTAATCTGTCCTTTTTGATATGCTTGAAGTTTTCATAATGGTAATGCAGGTATAACCCGTCTGGACTGCTGCACAGCTGTTGTGCTGAAGCCAACATGATCGTTTGGGAGGCTGGCGAGAGCGCTTGTCCCTTACTCCTCTTAGTGCTTTGCCGTTATTTACAGCATCTCAGGTTCACCCCTCCATTCCACCCAGATACTCTGCCCAGCTCCCGCCCCACAACCTAAGCTCAGAAGAGAGAATGAAGCATTCTCAAAGCAGCGCATATTCGGGTCACAAAAAATCTTTGCTCTGGACTTATCATGGCTTCTCAGGCGGAGGGCTTAAGGAGCCGAGCTAGTTGCGGGAGGCTGGGGTCTGCGAGCTGGAGCACAGGGCGTGTGGAGCCGCTCAGCTGCTTTCTGATGTAACACAGCACTTCAAGCTAAATTCTGGTG